CTCTGAAGGTTGTGCAGAACACGGCAGTGTTCACAGGTGCACAAGGAAGAATGGTCCAGCCTCAAAAAGTTTAGCGCTGAAGAGCCTGCCCTACTGCAACTTCCCAGAGCCTTTAAAATGCTACTGTGGCCTGACCAGTGTGGTTGAGCATTGACCTATGAACCAGGAGGTCAGGACTTGATTCCTGGTCGGGGCACCTGCTGGGTTGCGTTGTGGGCTCAATCCCCAGTAGGGGGCATGCAGGAGGCAACCCATCAATGATTCTCTTATCACTGAAGTTTCTGGCTTCTCCCTTCCTCTCTGAAATCAATATAAACATATTTAAAAAAATAATAAGATGCTACTGTGTGTGATGCATCTCTAAGGGGACTATATGGCTGTGCCAAACTCATTCACTCCTAACCTTTTCGTGGTAACGGCACCTTTGATGGGACCGTGCTGACAGAAGGATTCTGAGAGACACGGGTCTAAATCCACTGAGAGGGCTGGCGGGTAGAGTAGGGAGAACCGTGGACACACCCAGCATCGCCACAGAGCCATGTACTTCTGACTGTGTCACTTTAGCTGGCAAACTCCATTTCCTTAGCCTGTAAAATCCAATTCCTGGATTCTCTGTAAAGCCCCTTTCTGCTTTAACTTCACGGACCACGTATGTTTCTCGAAGTCTTGCCCCTTTGTAAACTGCCTATTGTTCCTTCAGTTACTCTTTGGCCTGGGTTGAACATTTTAAGAATTTTAGTATTTGGCCTTCCTGGTTTTATTAGACCAGGAAAAAATAAATCATTTACCTGCAATTACTTTCTCAGTGGTATTCCCCACGCCGGGGTCTCTGGTCTCAGGGCTGCGCTGGAAGCAGACTAATGGACGATGATTTAGAGCCCTTGGGAGCAGCAGAACCCAGTGACCTCAGAGCAGATGGAGTATTCCCGGCCTCAATTAGGAATTTCTTTTCATTTTTCAGTGGTGGGATGGGAAGGGGGGGCAAAGCAAAGGAAACGATAATTTCCCCGCATGGCTCCTTTCTGAGAATGAAAGGTATACCTTAGGAACTTTTTTTTTTTTTTTCCCAGAGACTAATGACATTTTCAATGAAACTAAAATAGGTCATTTTATTTATTTTATTTTTTTTTGGGGGGGGGCTATCAATTTATTTTATTTTTTTCTTTCTACTCTTTTTAATTTTTATTTATTTTTAATTGTTTTATTGCTTAAAGTATTACAAACAGTAATATATATGTCTCCTTTTTTTTCTCCCCTTGACCTTCCCCTAGCCTCCCATACCCCCCAGTGTCTTGTGTCCATTGGTTATGCTTATATGCATGCATACCAGTCATTCGGTTGATCTCTTATCCACCCCCCAACCCTCCCAGGCCATTTTAAAGCTAAGAAAATCTTTTAAATGATTAAATCATGTAAACAAAAGTGATAATAGGGCTAGGGAGAGGAAATTCTGCAAAGCAGCCAAGCATTCTGGTCGGAGAAATTGATGATCATCAGAACAGGAGAATTTCCTGCCCTCTTCAAGGCGTGGAGGAAAGCGGGGGACAGAACGTGACTTTCTGCACGAATCGTATGGCATGTCTTTAAGCGACAGTCACAGTTGGCCATCCTTACATGTGAAAAGTAAATAGGCATAGATAATGTGTATTTTTTTTTCAGGCTAATTTATCAGTTGATAATTTTGTGTGGCCCCCAGATGATGTTATAAATATCCAAATGGCCCTTGGCAGAGAAAAGGTTCCCCACCCCTGTTCTAGAGGAACTCTTCAGGTGCGATTGTCTAATTCGCTAATTCCACTCCCACCTCTTCGACTCTGTCTAATCTAGAGTTTATTCCATTTACTGACATTCTTTCTTAAATTTATTTATGGTTTCTAATTTATCTTACAGGTAGCCCATTCTCCCCTCCCCCAATTTATTTTTTAATATAAATAACTAGGAGCCCAGCGCGCGATTTGAAATCACGTGGCCCTGCCCACCCTCCGGTCCAGCCCTGCCTCACTCTCCGGCCCTTGAAGCAGCTGCAGCCGCTGCTGATCAGGCCCTCCCCCAGCACCCCGGCTGCGCACGCAACCTCCTGTCCAGTACAGCGTCCCGGTTAATTAGCATACTTCTCTATTATATATATAGATTGAAAATAAAAAATTATAATTTTTTTTATCATGTTGAACTCTAGACATCCTTTGCTAGACTGGTCCATACAGATGACTTCAACTGGAGTGCATCCACACTCCAGTCTTGCTTTCTCCCTCTCTGCCTGCATCCCAATCTATTGGGTCTCTAACCCCCAGCAGAGGTTGGCATGAGCTTTGCTTAGCCTCATTGCATCACTGGGAAGCTCACCGCTGTCTTAAGCTTCAAGGAGTGGAAGTTGACTCCCATCTGCATTTTACAGAAAGAACTATTTGCCACCTTCGCCCCACAGAAACCAATCTCCAGCCACTCCTTCCTGATTCCAAACCCAGGGCCTAGGACTCCCACCCCACTCAGCTCAAGCTTCATTTCAATGTACCGCTTTGACTTTCTGTTCCTATTTGCTTTTGAGCCTGGTTTTATCTTTTTTCTCCTTATACTGTTATCCATCACTGTCATGATACTGGAATTGAGGAGATACATCAAAGTATGAACAGACCATCTAGCTTGACTGGGAAGTATTAGTGATGGCTTCTTAATTGACTTCTATAATAATAAAACCATAATATGCTAATTAGACCAGACGTCCTTCCGGACGACCTTCTGAACGAAGCCGGGGTGGCCGGAGGGAAGCCCAGGTCCCGGGTACTAGAGGGAAGCCAGTGCTGGCAGCCGGGGGAAGGAAGGCCTACTTTTGCACGAATTTTGTGTATCAGGCCTCTTTGGCTTAATACTAAAGTACTATGTTGCACTTGTCACTGTTGATTATTCACTCTACCAAGGAATCATCTCCTCCAAATTTCAGTCTCCCCTCACCCCCAGATCCTCTGAGTTTCACCTTTAGTCCTGCTCTCTTTTCATGTGATATTTTCTTCCTGTGAGTTCTCATCCATCTTCTGCTTTTAGTTTCCACCTACACTGTTATCTCCTAAATCTGTATCAGCACCCCAGTTTTCCTCCCCCAGGAAATCCAGGTTATCTCTGCCTTATGGGCCAGAGGTTGCCCCCAACACTCTATCTTGGAAGTGGTATCAGTTAGTAAACTCAGCCAAGTAGAAATCTGACAATAATCCTAGACCATCTCTTTCCTCATCACCCACATGTAATCGGTTACTAAATCCCAAATCTCTGTCCTCTCGTTCTCTCTGCATCTGACTTGGTTCAGATCCTTATCAACTCTTGCCTGGACTATCATCTAATAGCCTCAATTGGTAACTCCATATACATCTCTTTCTTGTCTTAACTCATCTTCCTAAATGGCATTAGAAAAATCTAGAAACAAACATAAAAGTTCTTGGGCATCAAAAAACCTATGAGCTAACTCACCTTTTCAGCCTTACATTCTGCTGTTCTCTGCCAAACTACACGTCGTTCTCAAATGTACCTTGCTGTTTTATATGCTTATGCCTTTTTAATATTTAACCACATTTCATAACCAATTTGAAAATGGGGAAAAACAATGCAATGAGCAAGTTAATGTTTGCAAACTATGTCTATGATTATTCAAAAAGGAAATCCAGTGTTTTTATTTTGTATTCAATGCTTTAATTCCCCAAACAAAATTTCTAGGTAGATTACTCAAAACTAAGCAGGACAAAATGTGAGTTGGGTATACTAAACTGGCCACTTTTACATCCTCCATTCAAAGTGAGAGGTCTTAAAGGCTCTCTTTATCCCCTTATCATTGAATGTTACCATGGAGATGCAGACGATCTTTACAATATACCTTAATATTGTATTCTCATCTTCTCTTTATATATATTTCTCTGACTAGTCTTAAGCTCCTGACAAGTCTTGGGTCTTATCTTCCTATATCCAAATCCATTTCAAAGTCTAGTAGATAAAATGTACACAACAAATAAATGTTAATTGTTTGGATCAACAACCAAAGGAATTCTAAGACTAAACTCATGAGATACCATGAAGTAGTTCTACCAAATGCTTTAAAACCAAGGCATTGAAAAACACTCTCAACAGGAATTAAGTAAGATGCTTGGGCTTTGTAATAAGGTCAATTTTCAAGTTCCATGGAATTTTAAAGTGAGGTTTTTTATTATATTCAAAATTGCAAAGTTCCAACTTGGTACGTTACCTGACTAGTCCAAGTAGACTAAGGTATCTGAAAAGGATAATTCAGAAGGAAAATACTGACCAATTTTAAGAACAACAAAAAAGGCTCTGTTCAGTAGATTTCTTATTTTTCAATGAGTGGAAAGATATTTTAACTAGGAAAATTAAATTAGAATGACCGATTGCTGTTTCTGGCAATCTAACCTGCCAACATACCAAAGCCAACCAATAGTTAAAAATTCTGTTATAATTTAAAACAATGCAAGACAAATAGCGATCACCACATGAAGAAATTATAGCAGTAATTCTGATCCAATCCCCCTCCCCTCCATTTCAGTGGTCTTTAAAAATTAAAATTAAAATTGGTGTGGATCACTACCTTTCTAATACAATTTAAGAATATTTTCTGTATTTAAGTGTCTCTTATCTTCTTTATGTAATATAAACCTTAAATGTTATGTATCAAAAATTAAATTATATGAATAACCTAGGCCACACTTTTTTAAAGCACCAAACTGACCCAGAAGGAATTCCACATTGCACCAGAAGAGACCAAACACTATTACTATAAAACACCAACAAAAGTGGATGTCAGCAACTTCATGCTACACATCTGTGTTACATTCCCACAGCAGAATGCTTAACATAGACATTATAAGCCATCATCAATCAAACCTGCAAAAGACAAAAATAAAAACTTACAGCTCCTTTGCAGTAGAGTCGTAACTTCCCGGATGGAGTGCGAACGATCACCGACATTCTTTTCCTGGTGCTGGAAGAAAAGGTTTTCCATCCTGAGCACATGCATCGATACGTCTGTCATGCCTCATATACTTTAATGGTCACACCGAAAAAATAAATTTGACCAAAATGTGACCACGTATACAAACCATCCCCTGGGTGTGCAGTTGGGTACCTCGGAAAGTTCCTTTACGTTTTTCAAGGCCGTAGGGTACCATCTGCTGCCCCGGAGGGATAATTTACGAAACAGCTCCCTAGACACCTGCTGGAGTTAGTACCCACCAGGGTAGAGGAGAGCTCTGGTCCAATGTGTTCAGATTAAAGAACAACAACTACATTCAAGCCGGTATGTTTTAGGATGAACTGCATGTCACTAAAAACAGAAATGACAGTCTCTCCTCGCCACTGCATGGAATGGCTCAATCCAACACCTGCTTTTCAACCTTCCTCTGAGCTGACTTTGCAGCAGTTTCTCACACAGGTGACCATGATCGTCCCGGAATCATCCTCTTCCGCTGGCTCCGTGCCATTATCCTCTGCTTCTCTAACCACAAAGCAGTCTCATGGCCAATTCCCCCTTTTTCTAATCAACCCTTAAATTTGGAGTTAGTCATGGCTCAATCCTCAGCCTTTCTTGTTTCCCTCATTCTCTATTTTATATCCAGCAGATCCAACTCATCTCCATGGCTTTGGGCTCCATTGACAGGCCCACGACTACAGAGTTTCTATTTCGCCCACTGGCTTCTCTTTCATGCTCCAGGCCAGGGGTCCTCAAACTTTTTAAACAGGGGGCCAGTTCACTGTCCCTCAGACCGTTGGAGGGCCTGACTATAGTTTAAAAAAAAACTATGAACAAATTCCTATGCACACTGCACATATCTTATTTTGAAGTAAAAAAACAAATGTTTTCGGCGGGCCGCATGTAGCCCGGGGGACGTAGTTTGAGGACCCCTGCTCCAGGCCATCATACCCAGCTGCCTACCTCTGACACCTCCATTTGTGTATCTCACGGGCATGTACAATTCAAACATGTCACCCGCCACATCTATTCCTATTGCTGTACCTGCCACCTGTGTAAACAGTACCTCTATCTACCCAGCTATTCATGCCTGAGACTCTAATTCCTCCCTCCTTTCCCCTTCCACATCCAATCCATCCCCAAGTCCCCCTGACATCCCTCAAGGTACCTGGGTTCTATCAATTTCACTTTATTTTCACTACTATCAGCCTAATTTAAACCACCAATGTTTCTCAAGGAGCCTGTTTTAATACCACCTTATTCACCTTTTCCCCTTTCACCCTTACGCCTACCCCCATCACCCTTAAGCATCCTGAAAAAGCCTAACCTCCCAACCTTGCTTTCTTTTTCTTCGTGGCACTAACCACTCAGCATAGGGCTTATAAGTGTATGCTAATAGACAAACATATCCACATGCTAATGGATAGGCTATTTATAAATATTTTATGGATATAATACAAGGGAGCATAGGAAAAACAACCACTTTGCCCTGTGAATGGCGGTGAAACCTTTAAAGGCCCTTCTGTCTGTAGCTGAAGACCATTTGCCCCAAGAATGTAGGTCAGCTGGGAAACGAAATAGGCATGTGGGAATAAAAAGCCTACAACCCAGATATATCACTGATTATAACAGAAGGCCTTCATTATTTGACGTTAAGAAATGAAGTGAGTAGAATAATCTCATTGCTTTCTGCTCTTTCCCACTAGATAGTGACTGGTTTGATACCTAACAGAGACATGGATATGTTTTCCGGAATCCCAGTGACGGTTAGGTATAATGAGCACATAATTAGAGTGGTGGGATCTTAACTCTGATTCATCTTCACTCCACATCAATCTTGGTCCCTCTAAGTACAACACTGTTTCCAGATCATTAGCCGCAAGACTCCTGGTCCTATACCCCATGGCTGTGATGCAGACAGTCACGATGAAAAATAGTTTTACACTATCTTCAGGCGTCCTATCTTGCAACATTCTGAAGGAAGCTTTTTCTGATTTATCTCCAGCTATGAAAATTAAACACTGTACCAAAGATTTTAATGTAATATTTTGTCTAAATAAGTTCAGTTAAAGAAAATAAAGCATGCTTTCTTACTTATTTAAAAAGGGAAAAATAACAATAGACAGACATTTATCTTATGCACACAAATCACAGAGCAGATGTTTTTACCTGGTGAACTCCAGGACATTGAGCAATTCATATCTTTCTTCTTGCCCCAGCTATAAAGAAAAGGAATTTATGATTACATAAAGTTGGAAGTTTCTTTGCCTTCTTGGAAACAAACCTAGTCATGAAATTTTAATGTAAAAAATGTCAACACCAACAAATCGTCCCTTTTGAAATATATCATCTTTTATTGAACTTACTGACTTCAGGTTAAGATGGAAGATTGAACATTGCCATTTTTTACTTATTGACAGATTTTAAGAGAGAGAGAGAGAGAAACATTAAGTTGTTGTCCAACTTATTTATGTATTCATTGGTTGGTTCTTGTATGTGCCCTGACCATGGATTGAACCTGCAACCTTGGCATATTGGGACGATACTCTACCAGCGGTTCTCAACTTGTGGGTCGCGACCATCGGAAAACACATATAGCATATCAGACATTTACATTACGATTCATAACAGTAGCAAAATTACAGTTATGAAGTAGCAACGAAAATAATTTTATGGTTGGGGGTCACCACAACATGAGGAACTGTATTAAAGGGTCGCGGCATTAGGAAGGTTGAGAACCACTGAGTCTAGCCTGAACATTCACACTTAATTTCCATCCTTCCCAAAGCCCCACTAAAAGGACAGTAAACACTTAAAGAGAAAGACACTTCTAATGGCAGAAAAAAAAAAAGACAATAGCACCAAAAATTTGAAAAGAGCTCAATGAGTGGTATCTTACTTAGCAGAAACAGGAAGGTCAAATGCCACATTAGCAACTGAAAAGCTGGCAACCAACCTGAGTTGTACCATATCATCCTTCAAAGTCTATGGAAGTGAAACGCCAGACAGCTCTCGGACTGTGAGGTAAAAGGAGGGGCCTAAAATAGGGAGGACTGGGTAGGAGCTACTTGAAAAGCAGCCCAAACACTGGCCCTTCCTGCACTGGCAGGAGACTGAGGTGAAAGAGGGCCTTTCGTCTAGAAGTGGACGGGCACAGCTGAAGATACGGCATTGCCATCCTGATGCTGGATGCTGGGCCTTAATGCCCCGACCCACTCAGCTCCCTACACTGTGCAGCCAGATCTTTCCAGGCAGAAATTGGAAGGTGACTCTCTGGAGCAGGGGTCCTCAAACTTTTTAACAGGAGGCCAGTTCACTGTCCCTCAGACCGTTGGAGGGCCGGACTATAGTTTAAAAAAAAACTATGAACAAATTCCTATGCACACAGCGGCGGCAAAAACACCTGGTGGGCCGGATAAATGTTTTCGGCGGGCCGCATGTGGCCCGCGGGCCGCAGTTTGAGGACCCCTGCTCTGGAGAATCCAACAAACCCAAGAGAAGTCCTAGAGGTACAGCTATCACAATTCCCCAAACTAACCCTACGAGACCACTGTACCAGGAGGCTCATTGTTGACAAATACTCTTATGCTCAGAACTGCCACATCAGCTTTCCCGTTCCTCATTCTTAACCATGAGGATCCCAAAGATTCATAGATGTCTACAGAAAGCTGTTAACACGGAACAAAGACACCCAACACACACAGGCAAAGGCAATTTGGAGGAAAGAGAGTTCAAACACAACACTGGATGTCGGCCCATGGAGAGCCAGGTTCTGGGTTTCCTGATGGGCATGGGCTCGGGGGGATGGGGAGATGTGAGCAGGTCCTGATGCCTGGTCACTTGGCTTCAATACCAGATGGAAGTGGCTTGACATATGCTTCATAGGTGGCACTTTCTGTTCTGTCATCGGAATTATACTGCAGTGGCTTCCTGATGGCATGAAACTTGTTGCAGTCCTTTATACTCTTGAAAATATTGCTGCCTTAGGCAGTATATGCTGCTGCTTCTTCTTCTTCATATTATTATTATTACTAGAGGCTTGGTGCATGAAATTCATGCACGGGTGGGATCCCTAGGCCTGGCTGGCAATCAGGGCCAATCAGGTTCCCCGTCCCAGCCTGGGGCCTGCCAGCTGCGGGGAGGGGCCAACCGCCACTGCGGCAAGTGGGCGGTGGGCTGATCAGGGCCTGTTGGCCGGGGGGAGGGACCGGAAGGTTGGCCGGCAGGCTACATTGATGATTGGGGCCTGCAGGCTGGAGGCAGCTTCTGCATCTGGCCGCTGGTGGTCAGTGCACGTCATAACGACTGGTCGTTCCGTCGTAATGGTTGCTTAGGCTTTTATATCTATAGATTATTATTATTATTATTATTATTAATCCTCACCTGAGAACATTTTTCCATTGATTTTTTTTTTAGAGAGAGTGTAAGGGATGGGGAGAAACATTGATGTCAGAGAGACACATCGATTAGTTGCCTCCCACATGCCCCTGATCAAGGCCAAGCCTGCCACCAAGGTATGGGCTCTTGACCAGAATTAAACCTGGGATCTTTTAGTCCACGGACAGAGGCTCTATCCACTGAGCCAAACCAGCTATGGCCAGTATATGCTTTTTAATGGACCCATGAAGACAATTTTTGAAACATTAAGCTTGCTTGTAACAATTCTTATCTTTTTGTGATTAACATATATACCCTGTATGCTACTCTTCGGTGGTATAGGAGGAGATTGGCCTTACTGTTCTACATATTATAGTTCTGGTCAAAGAGCTGGTATAGTCTACCATATACCATATATAAGGGATGCTGTAATTAAATGTTGGTCATTTCTCCTAAGTAGAAAATGAGAAATTTTGGAAAAGAACGTTTGAAAGTCAATGTTTAGTTATTGGTGAAGCATGCTTTCCCCAAAACAATTATCACAGCCAAAAACAACTGCAGTGAGTGTTTAAGCATTTACACTCTGGTGAAAACTATTGTTTAATTAAATTGTTATGCATGTAAATTTATTTTTTTATGTCTATTCTTTTTGTGAATTAAATAAAAACTTTAAAGAACTATCACTATTCCTCAGAGAAATAACATAAGTATGACATGCATGAAACAAAAACAGCATACTATTAAAAAAGAAATATTGACAGGGCAAAAAAAAATTTTGGAAATCAAAAACTTGATAGGGAAAATGAAAAAAAAAATCAATAGAAGGGCAAGAAGACAAAGTTGAGGAAAACTTCCAAGAAGTAGAACAAAAAGGCAAAGGCCTGAAAAGAAGTAAAAGATTAGTTCAAGAATTCTAAAGAGAGAGCAGAGCAAAAAGAAGGAAAATGGAATCATTCAAGAAAATTTTCCAGAACTGAGGAATGGCCTATCAATCTACAAATGGAAAAGGGTCCAGTGCTCAGTAAAATGGGTTACAATGTTCCCACTAAGGCATAGGATCGTGCAATTTCAGAACTCTTAGGACAAAGAAGATCCTACAATCTTCCGAGAGGGGGAGGGGGCAGGGCAAGTCACAAAATATGTGGAATCATGATGGGTTCTGATTTCTCAACTAGGTGTGCTGGAAGCCAGAAGACAGCGAAGCAATCTAAATTCTTAAGGAAAATGATTTCCATCCTGAAATTCTATTTTCAGGCAGACTATCAACTATTAGGCACAATGGTAGGATAAAAAATGTTTAGACTTGAAAGGACTAAAAAAACAAATAATTCCCCTTGTATCGTTTCTCAAGAAGCCACTAAAGAATGTGTCCACAAAAACGAAAGAGTAAACCCAGAACAAGGGAGAATGGGCTTTAGGAAACAGGAGATCCAGCACAGACTAAAGGTAAGTAAAGGGAATACAGGACAGTGACCCCAGGGTGACAACTGTAAGACTGTGAACTGTCAGTCAGGGCATCTGAGAGCCCTGCAAGGCAGGAGCCGGGCTTGCTGAGGGCTATCACGACTGTGTCCTCTCCTTTCGTGACAACTTTTTAACCTGATGAAACTCACAGATCATGTGCCCCATCAAAACAAGGGAGTTCCCTGAGAAAGAAGACTTGAAATATAGGAAAAGTCCTAAACAGGAGAAAAATCTAAAGGAATGTCAAATGCCATAGAAGCAGCCTTAGAACTAAACTGGCCCAGACCAAGGAGAATGGAAGACTTCAAGAAGGATGTCTCAAGAATGGATTAGCTAGTGGACAGGTTGTCTGATAAAGGTGTGCTAAGAAGGTATAGAGACAATCAGCAATAGGTAGAAAGAAAAATAAGCAATTGAAAAATGTAGACACTTAGCTTTAGGAAATAAAAGAAAACATATTTTCGGGAAACAATTTTAGGTCAGGAAACAAAATTAAAACAAGAAAATATTGAATATAGCAATGGTCAGCTATGAATATCGCTACAGGCGTAATAATATAAACACTAACTGATGATTTATAATGATATAATTTATATACAATAACGTACATATTCCTTAAATGTATAGTTCAATGAAATTCATATAGTTTGACAAAGGCATACTTGGTGTAATCACCCCCTCAAACAAGATACCGAATATTCTCATCACCCCATAAATTCCTTTGTGCCCTTTTCCAATTTCCTCCCTGACTCCGAGGCAACCACTGATCTGAATTCTATCACCACAAATCACTTTTGCCTGATTTTGAGCTGCATATAAATGAAACTAAAGAGTATGCACTCCTTTGTGCCTGATTTTTTCTCAATGTAATGATTTTGAGATTTATCCATGCTATTGATGAATCATTAACTCATTCCTTTTTATTGTTTAGATATCCTATTGTATTAGCATGTCATAATCCGTTTATCCATTGTCCTACTGATGGACATTTGGTTTGTTTCCAGTTTTGTCTACCATGAATAAAGCTGCTAAGAACATTCCATTAGACATTGTTTTGTGGACATAGCTTTCATTTTTCCTGGGTAACTATGAGAACAAGTTCTGGGTCAGGTGCAAGTTTACTTGTATTAGAAAACTCTAAAAGGTTTTCCAAAGGGATTGCATCATATTGTGAGTCTACTGGCAATATCTGGGTGCTCCACTTCCTCTATATTCTCATTAACATTTGGTGCAATGGTTTTTATTTTAGCCCTTTTGGTGGTATGTAGTGGTATCTCATTGTAATTTTAATTTGCTACTGATCAAGGCCAAGCCTTATCTTATCTTTTTGTGATTAACATGTATACCCTGTATGCTACTCTTTGGTGGTAGTCCCTAATGACTAACAATGTTTTTTCATGGGCCACTGATACATCTTCTTTTGAGAAATGTTTAAGTCTTTTGGCCATTTAATAAACTGGGTCTGATTACTTCTTTAACCAAAAATTGTAATAGAAATGTAATAATATTGGGAAGATATGGTGAGTCAGAAGAGCTAAATCCTCATTTAACATAATAAAACAGAAAGTCAATAGACACGTATAATATTGAAGAAATTATATTAATCACAGGTATCATTAATCACATACACTCTTTGAAAATATGAGATGTATAAATGCCTGAAGAAAGAGATAAAGTAATAGAAGATGGTTGCCTCTAGAGTAGGATACCTCTATTTTAAAACAAGCCTTTTGGTATTATTTTATCTTTAAAGTTATACATGGTTTACTTTGATGAAAAAAAGACTTAAAAATAAATAACTTACTGAATCTATAATCACTGAGTCAGGTGTTCTTCCAGTGAAAACAAAATTCAATTGCTTGGCTGCTCTGACCAAGGCTCCCTCATCTGTTTTGGGAAAATAGGTGAAAGCAAATACATGGTGATATAAAAATTATTCCCAATACAAGAGAAATACATCACTGTAATATAATTTGCTGTTTAATTTTTAAAATAATATATATTGTATTGATTTCAGAGAGGAAGAGAGAGGGGGAGAGAGATAGAAACATCAATGATGAGAATCATTGATTGGCTGCCTCCTGCATGCCCCACACTGGGGACTGAGTCCACAACATGGGCATGTGCCCTGACCGGGAATCGAACCGTGACCTCCTGGTTCATAAGGTGACGCTCAACCACCGAGCCACCTCGGCTGGGTGCTGTTTAATTTTTCAAGCATTAAAATTCTTCTTATTCTGGCTCCTGTTATGCAATCTATTTACTTTAACATTATATAACAATGCCAAAGGAATGAATATAATAATCTGAGATAAGTATAAACCCAGAGTCCTGTTTTTGGACATTAAGACTCAGTCTTATTTGTAAACAAGAATGAAAATGTACATGTACCTCTTGGTCTAGCATATTTTCTAGAAAAACCTTTCTCAAAATGAATGACACAAAACTGCCTTCTTACATTTTAAGTTTTTCCTCCTAAAACATTGATTGTAGAAAAACTAATGCTACTAATTGAAAATTTGATTTAAATGGATATTAATGAATGGATGCTTGATTTTTTCATATATTAGTTGTCATCACCATGCTACCTTAAAACTTCTTGTTGCTGAGGGTAGGGTGTGGGGTAAGAGAATGTTCACGTAGTTTCTATCCCAACAATGTGAGATGTAACATTTCTTATACTTAGAAGGAATTGGGTACACTCTACTAGGTTATAGCTACTGGTTTAGAATACAGTTTAAAATACTTTTAACAAAGTTCCCCAAAGTGTGTTCCTTCTTTCCTAAAACCTTATAATAACTGGATTGACTATTTACTCAAATTTACATTGAAAATAGGTCTAAAATTAAACTCAAGAATTAACTGTGCTAATACATTATTTTATGGAATCCCTTCAAATGTGTAAATCATCCTCATCCAAATAAATACGCAATAATTTATTATCGATTATCATTCCCCAAAGAGGGAAGCAAAACTGGTGTTCTAAAATGCAGACTATTTAGGCAAACAGACCTTCCTTTTCTGTCTGCTTATGTGCAAAAACAGTTTTTGACTAAGTTTTCTTGAAAAGAAGGGAGAATTACTACGTGCATATAAAAAAATGCTTTCACTTACTTGAATTTTGTTATTCAAATTTCTATATGTTTTGTCATCTACCAAAATTATATAAACAAAGTTTTATATTTTAACATATCGATATATTTAACTCCAAGAGCCAAGGTTTGTCTAATTAGTAAATGATTTTTTTAATCTAAAAAACATAAGTTGGTTATTTTAATTTTTCAAATTAAATTGATTTTTTTCTTGACAATCTCAAATTTCAGAATAATTTTCCACTGGAAAAAAAATAAATCACAATTGCGTCATTTGTACCTGGAGATGCTGCTTGATAAATAAGCTTGTCACCTTCTCTCTCTGGTACTGCTGTGTGACAGACTGCCATCATGGTGAGAAATTCACAGATTACAGGTGCAGTTGGCTGTAAGAAATAAAGCTACATTAGACCTTCTCACTTAAACATTCTGACACTCATGACAGCAATATTCCTTCATGCCCATCTATTAAGAGTGTAGCTATTAAATATCGAAGGTATGAGGTTATAGCTAACTAAGACAACATTACTATGAAGAAAAAATATTTTTAACTAAAATCATTCATTCTTGTACTCTCTCATTCATTTTTAAACATTTATACAAGACAAGTCTGTGTTGTCAAATAGAAAGAGTACAGTGAAAAAAAGTGGATATGGCCAAATACTGGGCTTAGAAGACAGAAGAGAAAGTCTAAAATGTTCTTGATCTGGTTCTAACTCCTGACCAGATTTAATTTTTTTTTTTTTATAGAGAGAGGAAGGGAGAGGGAGAGAGAGATAGAAACATTGATGAGAGAGAAACATCATCGATCAGCTGCCTCCTGCATGCCCCACACTGGGGATCGATTCCACAACCCAGGCATGTGCCCTGACCTGGAATCAAACCAGAGACCTCTTGTTTCATAGGTCAGTGCTCAACCACCGAGCCACACTGGCCGGGCCCTGACCAGATTTAAATTTTAGGCCTCTCATCTTACTGTGGTTCACTATTTTAGGTTTGGGTGATGATGGCAGGGATTCCTCTGTAATTCCTTGTCCTCCCTCTCTCCAAAACTGGCAACCTTAACTGACAGTTTTTTCCAAATAAAGAAATGACTGAGCAGTTCCTATGTACAATGGACTCACGTGACCCAAGGAAGACATGAAAGCGAATCCTTCCTGCAAGGAGCTTCGTTTATAGGAGAAAAGAAGCCAGATCTCACATCAAACATCTGCCTGTCTGGCTCTTGATGAAGAAAAATGTCATTCAAATTAATAAATAAATAAAAATTTCCCTATGCTGTTGGACAAAGAATAAAAGAAAACAGCCCGGCCAGTGTTTCTCAGTGGATGATCATAGACCCATGCACCAGGAGGTCACTGGTTTGATTCCTGGTGAGGGCACATACTCTGGTTGTGGGCTGGGTCCCCAGTAGAGGGCGTGCAGGAAGCAGCCATTGATGTTTTTCTCTCATTGATGTTTCTATCTCTCACCCTCACCTTTCCTCTCTCTCTAAAATCAATAAAAACATATTTAAAAAATAGAAAACAAAAAGGAAGTGAAGTGATGGAAAAGCAAATCAAATATTATTTGAAAAAACTGTGTTCAAGTGACAATAGACAGAAGACACATGGTCCCTGCCATGTGAAGCTTCGACTTGTGGGGAAAACAGAACACAGATAAACATACATGTATAGCCTATTTATAGAGTGAAAAAGGCTACAAAGCAGAGAACGTGCAAACACACGTAATGTGATTGGGGTGAGTCTGTGGTTGTTCTGAAGATAATGCAATATTTAAGCCGGTGAGGTTGTAGCTTCATGAGAAACTGAGCAGAGAGTTTTCCATCAAACAGGAACCTAATATGACTGAAAAGACCCTAAAGAAGGAAATAATGAAGTGTGTTAATAATAAAGGCAAACTAGCGTGGCCTGGGGAAAAAGAAGGGACGAGCGGCTCCGAGTGAGGTTGGGACAGGCAGGCCCCGATCATGTAACTCTGTCGTTAAGAGGGAAACCAGACAATGGTTTTGCACAGAGAAGCGGTGGGACTGATTTCCGCTTGCATCACGGCAGCTGTCTTGTGCAACAGAAATTGGAAGAAGTGAAAAGGAAACCAAGGAGAACGGTTAGGAGGCATTCCAGTAATTCACACAGGGGATGCTGGAAGTCTGGCCTCAGGGAGTGAACGAGAGAATAAAGACGACATTTGAGACATATTCTAGAAGTCAGAATTGACAAGGACTCGGTGACTCCATTGACTGGAGATGGAGGGACAAGGAAGTATCAAAAGCAACCCTAACGTTCCTAGAAAGAAAATTAAGTCAGGTCGTGGTGTAAGTTACTGAACTTGAGGGCACTGGAGGGAAGAGGAGGTCTAGGTCTAGGTTTTGTGGATCCTGAAGTAATATTCTGTTGCAGGCTCTCTTAAGAAAAAAGGATATAAAAATAGCCATACAAACACATTACAAGAGCTCCATCCAGAGGCACAGGTGGTAGGTTCACCCGTTCGTCAGAGGGAGCATGTTGTGCACATATTGAAGCAACTGTGAGAAAAAGTTCTGGGGTTTAAACTCCAGGAAACCCTACCACCTAATCTGATGAAATTTTAGTGTCCACGACTTGATAAAGATGTCCATAGTTCTTATTGCATATATTTGGCACTGGCCTATCATTTTGAGCAGATAATTCATTTCTACAGATATTTTGAAATTGTTAATAGTGAGTTCTTTCAAACAAAGAGGGTTCTAATATTATTCAACATAAGACATTGTTACAAGATAGAATACTGATAATGATAATAGCAAAACTAAATATCTAATAACCATGTTGGCCAAGTTAAAAAAATTAGCAACAGATTTTGAAATTTATTAAAAATAATCACAAAACTTAACACATAAACAGGGAAGATAATTCAGGAAAATGTTCATTAGTTTTCACTCACTAATTAAAATATAATGATTTTATGTCACTTACATGATTATTTTGGAGATTTTCCAGCAATGATGAATCATTAAATGTTTTTTCGTCTCCTAACTGTGAGCTCTGCCTACAGGGGGAAAAGAAGGAGCAAACCTGGTTTAATTATAGCAGCTCACTGAACTATTTGTAACTTTTTAAATAAATCACTATGTCTGCAAACCCCTAATAAATATAATTTAGAGTGCATTAATGAATACGGCATCACAAATTTCATGAATAAATCAGAAAACATATTCAAGCATTGTGAAATATGACAGACTTTTGTAGCATAACGAAAATAGTATTTTATAGTTCATTTTCCTGGAGTGAAATTATATTGTAGCCAATGAAGTTTTAAAAATTTAAAAATGTAACAAAACTGCTAAAATACCAGGAATTGAATTTCTTCTACTTCTATAATTTTTTTCAAGTTTTAAGAATTCTGAGATAAAATTATTATTAAAAACAATACTGATGAATACTTTTACCATAGCCTATGAGAAATCTTTATTTGTAGTAATTAACACTACATGATTATCATATGCAATATAAAAATATGAATAAACTACATATTTTATCATCACTAACAAATATCTGACATGCTTACATACATATCACATGTGTTCTGTATATTGAGGAGAAAAATCACAAAGGTGTATGGGATTCTTTTGTGCTTGACTATCTTCGGGTCAGCAAACACATTATGCACAATGGAGAAACAAATGGAGTCGGAATGGCCTCTGTAATCTAGCTATTATTAATCTTGGCAATGAAATTTAATACAAAACTGTGGAAATTCAAGAGAACAAGGACCATTTAGTTGGGAATGTCAAACCTAAAGGGTATACTTTGCAATGTTCAGTGAAAATATATAGATCTAAGCTTGTGTACACTGAAGAAAATTTCAGAATTAGTTCACTGAGGAAAAAAATATGTTCAATATTAAATGACTGTAAACCAGAAAATTTTTAATCACAATCTTTATAGGTTTCAAAGAGCAATATCAATGTGCCAAGTAGCAAGAGTTTCATAATTTTAAAACCAGCAGTTTAAAAGGAAAAATCACTGAAGAAAAAAGAATTTAAATAACTGAACATACACAATACCCCATGAAACATATTTTTCCCCAAACCAAAGGAGGATGTTAGAACATTTATAATAAAATACATCTATATTTACATGTAGTATTTGGTCTATTAATTCTCAAAATTATAATACAACTTTATTAACATGTAGTAGGTTAGAATTCTCAAAACATCCCTGGAAAGCAGAATCAACACATTATTATAATTATTATTATTCCTCCTCCTCTAGTTTTAAAGATGGAGAGAAAAATCCAAGAACTTTTAAATGACTTATTAACAGGGAGACAGAAAAATATAACACACATTTCTATTCCAAATACTATCATTTCTTAAAAATAGTTTATTATTTGGGGTTTCATAAAATCTTCCTATTATTAAACAATTCATTAATTGTTCCTAGTTATATTTTCCTATTTATTTGTTAGATAAATTGAATTGTCAAGGAACATTCACAGTAACATCTTGCATATGGAGGTCTACTTTGTTTTCAAAGAATTCCAGACTGAAAGCCTTTGTAAATCTGAAGATTTGTCTTGTTAACCGTTTGTACGCCATGAGCGTCTACGGTGTGTGGGGATGGTGTGTGGGGATGGTTTCCGTTTTGGACGCGTGGCAGTTAACTGATTAATCTCACTAGTAATGCTTTCATCTTATAAATCACAGCCACCATCTACACTAATAAAAGAGAAACATGGTAATTGGCATACGACCGCTACCCTTCCCATTGGCTAATCAGGGAGATATGCAAATTAACTGACAGCCAAGATGGCGCCGGGCAGCCAGGCAGCTTGAAACTAACATGAGGCTTGCTTCCTTCAGTGACGGAGGAAACCAA